CAATGTAGCTACATTGCTACATTGTAGCCATCATCATCATCATTGTAGCTGCCATCATCAGTGTGTGAATGTGTGGATGACTGGATGCAGTGTAAAGTGCTTTGGGGTCCTTAGGGACTAAGTAAAGCGCTATACAAATACAGGCCATTTACCATTTATTGCATTCACAAGACTTTCAGAAAAGTTGACCCATGACCTTGAGGTCGAGGTCCCTGAGATCCAAACTCATCTGATGTTTTAGTCTCAAGTTATCGCATTCACAACCTTTTTCGTCAGGGCGGTAGCCATCAGCTAAAACTCGCTGTAACTGCAGCCCACGAGCTGACGGGGTCTTGGACTCCAAATATTTCACTGCCTCGGTGAAGAATCGGGACCAGCTGAGGCTTCAGTGCGGACATGAAGCTTGGGATCAGGCGTGGGAACCTGGAGCTGTGCATGGATCGTCTCGGATGTTCTATTGGACGAAGTTTGGTCGGCTTTTGACGTCACATTCCTCCCACAGTGTCTCCTACTGAGAATCCTCAGCATGAACTTTGACTGAGAACAGTTGAACCCTCAGTCTTCCTCTTCACATCGCTGCGGTTCACTTTTCCGTTTTCATTTCTGTCCAAAGCTCCAGCTGAGCTGTCTGATTTAGCTGAAACCCTTCAGTCAGAACAGCGTCGATCATCTAATTCAGCCAAAAACTCGTAAATCCTCTTTTCCAGGTCTGACGTAGCGTTTGTGTGTTTTGGTACGATGACGTTTTGTGAAGGATGCTGAGACTGTGGATCGTTTTAACCCTCAGCAGCACCAAACTGTTTGATTTTGGAGAATTTTAAAGCGCCTAAAAATATCAGGTTTAACCGTAAGCGGAGGGTACAAACGTGTAGTTCATAAACGAGGCTCAGAGGCAGGCGTGTCTCAGTTTGGGACTACGACGTGAGGAAAGAAGCGAGGATGCTCTGAGGAGTGAGAGCAGACTGCTTTGACCCTGTTTAACATCCTGCCGCCCTACATTTACATTCTTTGTCACAACTCTTTAATTCTTAAACGCAAACACCCGTAATTAAAGTGGGTTTTTCCCCTCTGTTAGCTTTGAGACTCGAATCCAGAATAATCTGCATTATAGACGGACAAAGTGTTTCTGAAAGCTTCGTGTGCTCAGAGCCCAGATTTATGTCAATGAGCGACACTTCCTGGAGCTGCTCCACTGACAGAAAATAGAGGAACGACTCTGTGGACACGGCGGCCGCAGCCAGGCTCGCTCTCCGGGGATTTGTTGGCACAATTACGCTGATGTAAAACTTTAAAATCAACAAAACCTGCATCCTTTGTAGCGTGCAATGGCACGGATAAAACTGAACGCACTGTTGCATCAGCTCGAAGGGGAAATGTGGCTGAAATAATGAATATTTATTTAACAGAATGACATTTCGCTTGGAGACGTGTTTGTGTAGATTTGTGGCGATTTAATGTCACAGAAGCACTTCTGAGGAACCCGAGCTGCTGTGGAAAATACTGCTGCTGTCAAGCCTGTATTAATGCAGTAAAATAATCAGTCATCAGCGTGTGCTCGTTCTCGGCTCTTCAGTTCCAAACGTCTGCCCTGCTGAAGTTTTCATGTTTCATTCTGGAGCTAAAGCGATTAAGTTAATTACGTTTAATAAAGAAAAACAATCAGAAAGCCAGTTTTCAAACTTTGCCCAGCGCCAGTTTCTAAATGATGAACATTTCCAGCTTTTGCTTTCTAAAACAGTAACTTAATACCTACGACTTTTGGACAGTTCGCTCCTGCGGCTCCCTGACCCGTGGCAGGAGGTGTAGGGGTCTGGTGCTGTGTGGATTGGGCCGCGGTAAGGGGCGGACACCCCTGCGGGCCAATCCCTGGTTGCCAAAAGTGGCTCTTGGAACAGCACCCCTCTGGTGGGGAACAGCCTGAGTTCAGACTCGGACTCGCCTCAACAGTGTAGCATCTTGAACCCGGAGCTGGCCTCAGTGAAAGGTGGTGAGCAGGGGTGGGTCTACTTTTATCCCCCGAACTTGGCACCTGAACAGAAGGTTGCTTACCTGCGTCTGCAGGTGGAAATAAGTTGAGACTATGTGCCAAAGACAGCTCAGAGTACCTTTATTACCTGGATGGGTGGAGTGCTCGAGGGTGCAGTGAAAGCTGGAGGGGCGTGACAGAAGGAAGGGCGAACCGACCTGCACTCGTTTAGCTTTAGCTTCACGCTGCTCCTTTAACTGAGAAGATGATCTATGAATGGTCCAGATGCACCGATGCAGTATTTGGATCACACATTGGTCAGATCCCGACTCACTCGAAGCTGTTCGGTGTTTATTTCACCATGCAGCAGCAACTTGTCAGTGTGTTTGCTCCATTCAGTCCATATTTAATAGATTTATTTATAGGAGGTTATTTGACAAAGTTAGCTAACCAGTGCTGCAGTCGAGCCTCGTCCTCCCCGTGAGGACAACAGTTACTGGACGGTGCAGTTTACAGGATCTGCAGATAAATGCAGCTGGGATAAGCTGGACTGAGCATGCCCAGTGAGCTGGGGTTGTATCGGTGGTCCGGAAAGCAAAGGAAACAAAAGAAATGCTGACTTTGAATCTTTGTGGTTTAGTTTGTGGGCGGAAAACTTCAAGTTTGCAAATCCCAAAATTACAGAAACCTTTTAATTTACTTCAGA